CGCTTAACGTTCTACATTAGGAAATTTAGGCAGTCTGGTATAAACCAGTCTTTACTTTCTCAGTTTGTAAATTCTTGTATTCTACCCATCCTCCTTTACTGCTCCCCATTAATCTTTCCTGGACTACTTAAGAAAGACTTTGCTTCGCTGAGAAGGGCACTAAAAGCCGTTAGTAGAGCAAGTGGGATATCGTTAAACCAACTGGTGAACACTATTGTGGATAGACATATAATTTCATGTAAGAAACTAGAGAATACAATATTGTCAGACCTCGAGCATCCTCTCTATACGCAGCTCTCTCCTTGCATTTTATCTGGTAGAACTAGAAGCAGCTATAGGCGGCTACATGTTATGACTACCAAGTACAAAATTCCACAATACCATATCTGGCACAGCTGTTATGTGATGAGAAATCCGTTAGGTATGACACGATAAACTTACTGCAGCACTCTAACAAACAGTCTCATTAGGTTTTCTTTTCCTTTCCTCTTTACTACTACACTGTTGTTCTCATCTACTACCACACATCAACTTTATATTTCAAATCCTGTGGTGCATTGTTTGAAATGAAATACTCTACGCTGTTTTTTTCTTAACTTTTAATATTTATTTATTTTATTTATTTATAACTTATATATTTTATTTTTATTTATTTATCTTTGATTTTTAAAAATCTTATATAATTTATGAGGTAATTAGATGCAATACTCTGTAATGCACGCTGAAAATTCCATACCTGTACCACAAATACTGTTCGGAATAAAGCTGTTATTATTATTATTATTGAATGAATTTTTTTGGTTTAAAATTTCAAGTAAGTCAAGTGGAAAAGATTCAGAATGAGAGTCGTAATAATAATAATGATAATAATAATAATAATCGAAGTAATAAGGGAAAAGTACACAGAACAACTAAATAAATAAAATAAAATAGGAGAGGACCGAGAACCGTGCCTTGTGGCACTCCGCTACATACTGCTGTCCAAGAGGAGAGTTTTGAGTTGATCCTAACCTTCTGCCTCCTATCTATGAGGAATTCCTTGAGCCAGTCTAGTAGTCTGCCTTTGATACCATGACTTCCCAATTTCATGACTAGTCTTTTGTGAGGTACTTTATCAGAGGCTTTACTGAAGTCTATGAAGACGACGTCAACGGGTCTTCTGTTGTCCCTTGACTCGACCCAGCTTTCTCTTGCAGTGAGGAGATTTGACAGGCGTGAGAGGTTTCTTCGGAAGCCGTGCTGTGATCTAGATAACAAGCTGTTGTTTTCCAGGTATGCCATGATGCTTTTCTTGATAATTCTTTCCAGTGTCTTGATTAGAGTGCTGGTGAGACTGATAGGCCTTTAATTTAAGGGGCTTCGTCTTGATCCTCCTTTGTGGGTGGGGGTTACTATGGCGTCTTTCCAGTCACTCGGTAACACTCCATTTAGGAGAGATAGCTTGAAGATCGTGGTCAAAGGGCCGGCTATGTTGGCTGATAGCACCTTGAGAAGCCTTGGATGAAGATTATCAGGACCCATTGATTTTCCTGCATCTAGTTTCATTAAGCAGTTGAGCACGATGCCTTGGTCGATGTCAACGGAATCTATACCGTATTCCTCTGATGCAGCCAGAGCTGATCCTATGGGGAGTGATGACTCCTGAGTGAAGACTTGGGAGAAGTAGTTTGCCATTGCTTCTGCTTTTTCTTGATCTTCTTCGATTGTATCGTTGTCAATAATCAGGTTTGGGACACCATTGGATGTTTTATTCCTGAAATTCAAGTACGAGAAAATTTTCTTAGGTTGTGCCTTTGCATTTTGAGCCAGGTGTGCCTCGAACTTCATCCTTGATTGGCGGATTTCTGCAATAGCTTTATCTCTAGCAGTGTTATATAATTCCCTGGTGTCAGAAGTCTCAAGTGTGGCAAACAGGTTCCAACATTTTTGTTCGCATCTGAGTAACTTATGAATCTCGCCGTTTATGGAAGTTTGGGAATGTTTGCTACCCCGTGGAACAGACCAAGGAATGTATTGTACAGTTACTATGGCGTAAATTTGCCTTAATTTTTTCCATGTGGCTTCTACTTGAGACTCTGCATTTCTATACCGGCTTAGTGAGTTGTCTGCTGAGTGCTGTACTTATATCAGCTTTCCAAATATTTGTTCGAGCTGGGGTTTTGCCTCTAGCTACCGTTGCTTTGATCTTGGAAGTGAGCACAGCATCGTCACTTCTTCCTAACGGAGGAAGATGCTGTATGAGATCCACATCCTCACCGTGGGAGAACACTATGTCCAGAGTTGATGAGGAGTGCTGTGAGTTATAGCGCATGGGCTTAATGATATGTTGGACTAGGGCCAGCGATATACTGCATTCTAGCAGTTTATGACCAAAGGAGTTGACTGAAGATGGAGTTGTTAGGCTCGACCAGTCAACTGTTGGGGCGTTGAAGTCGCAGACTACTAGACTTCTACATTGTGAAGTCCAGGAGCCTAGCTTCTCTATTAGGAAATCATCTGCACTGCAGTCAGGACTGCGATATACAGCGATGAGGTCAATGTCTTGGCCTATGCATTTTGGTCTGCAGCGTAGAAGTTCGGACGACTCACTTTCGAGAGCGGGTGCTTCGACACTACGCACGGTTAAGCCTTTCTTGAGGTAGATGACTACGCCACCTCCCTTGCGGTTTAGTCGGTCCACCTTGTTCACTTTGAAGCTTGGCAGGTTAACTTCGTTGTCAGTGACATCGGCTGTGAGCCATGTCTCTGTGATAATAATTACATCCGAATTTCCGGTTTCTATCACGTTAACCAGCTCAGTCCTTTTACTTAACAGGCTGCGGGCGTTTATGTAGCAGACTGTTATTTCAGATTGGTGCTTCCCCGGCCCACCCACAGAGGTTTCGGGATCATTAAACTGCGAACTCGGACAACCCGAAAACCCTTAATCTTAAGGTTCTTCTCAACGTTCCGGCGTCGCTCACTTAATTCTAGTGCCGCAGCCTGTCTTTTGACACGGTCTGCTAGGCTTAAGTCAGCGCGGACATATATCCCTGATCCTTTGAGAGTATGAGAGTTGCTTAGAATAACATCCCTTTCTTCTTTAGAGTTTAGTACGACTTTGAGTAGACGTACAGGCTGACTTACTGTAGGGTCAGGCTTTTGGCCTATTCTATATACTCTGTGTATAGTAATGCCTGATACTGTTTGTGGCAGTAGCTTGTCTAAAAGGGGCTTGACCAAGTTAAGGTCATGCTCGAATCTGGTCTTAGGGTCGAGGGCCAGTGACCCTTCCACTTTGTGGAGAATGAGAGACCTGTCAGAGAGATCAGGTTTGCTTTCCGTGACTTTCTTGCTCTGCGGCGTACGTGTGTTTCTATCCTTCTTGGGCGGTGTAGCCAATGTGTTATCCTTATCTCGCTTTTGCGAGAGACTACATTACGCCATTTATTGGCGTTCTCCTCGCTAATCGTAATGGCGTCTGTCTGTCTGCTGCTCACCGGTGTGTATGAGGCTTGTTCCGCCAGTCCCTGGCGACTGGAGCTGCAGGTTTTCCACCCTTGGTACGCCTCTTCTTCGCGGCAGTCTTTCCATTACTGTCACTGGAGGGCTTATCCAGTATCGTGGGGCCAGCCTGGGTGTCTGGAATGTGGTGGGTGTTCTTCTGTGCTGTAGGCCACTCACTCATTGGCAAGGTCACATCGGGGACATGTGCTGTTTTGTCAATGACGCTAGCCACGTCATCGTTATCTGAGCAATAGTCGGTATTCTTCTGTGGTGGAGGACGCTTGCAGTCCATGAGGTTTGAAGCCCCACTGAGAGTAGCAATGGCTCTTGTAATACGGAGTTTAGTTGTACTACAGCAGCCGTTGCACAACCAGTTTGCTAGAGGTTTGCAGCAGCGTTTGTATGCTGCTGGAGTACGGTTCGTGCACATACTGTGAAACCATCTCTTGCAGTTATCACACTGCATTCCCTCATCCACTGGAAACTGGCACATGGCCCTTATATAATAATGATAATAATGTATATTCTCATATAAACATATAAATTTACATGGAAATGCATGCCATTTTTACAGGCACGATCAAGTATGTTATAATGTCAAATCTTAAATTGTCTACAAGTTAATAATGTTTCAACAGTTAAATATCTGATATATATATAAATACACTCATTGTCTGAACTAGGCTGTATAGTTATTGAATTGTACAATTGTCCTCCAGGTTGAGCGGGAAAATCTACTTCGTTTCGTTTTCATCCCGTGGTTGTAGGCATACAATAACCAACCAATATTCTAATCCTATTCTCTGGAGGGTACGGTTGTGCACCAAATAGACATAATAGCATGAAATAATAATAATAATATATTCTCATTTTTTACATGAGGGACGCCAGTTTACAGGCATCATCAATTCGATAATTTACACATAATATTAATAAGCATATTTAGTAAAGATAATATAATAAAGTACATTTTTTTCCCTAGCTATGTAGGGTACACCAATTGTATAGGCATGCATAAATATTGTTTTAATAATAATAATATATTCCTTCCTGTTTATGCAGGAACATACCTATTGTACAGGCATGGATAAGTTATTATATAAATTACACATAATTTGATGTATAATGGACTTACAGTTTGGTTGTTCTTTCTGACATTAGAGTCAGTCGGAACAGTCTGCTATAAAGTCTGTTTGTGTAGCACATAAAGAGATATAGAAATATTGTCTTCGCATTAACAAAAAACCCAGACATCACATGAATGTAATACAGATATATGGGAAAAATAAAGCTTGAAGTCAATTCTCCTACATAACTTTGTTGTGAACAGCACCCTTGGCTTAAAGATTATTGATGTATTATATTGAGATCAGTGATATATTTATTCCATTTTTCAGCAGTCTTATCGTAGTTTCATAACAGGAAAGAAATTTGATCGTGGAGGCGAAAATTAGATAAAGTCATGCTAAGTTGTTTTACTGCATCAAATGGTCCCGAGGTCGATTCCAGAATTCTCCATTTGCGCCATTTGTGTCTGCATGGCGGACTGTACTCGTAAGTTGAGTAAAATGTTGAAAACCAGTTGCTTCTTTATTTCAGATCATGAATACTCATTTACATCGTGTCCGCCAGCTTCTTTAAATGGTAGAATTGGATCGTTCCTGGAATTTGAGTGATTATGGGATAAATGGTTTGGAATTAATCATAGCAGTTAGAATACAGTTAAACATGCAGAGAAGTACTTTTGATTCAGCAACCGGTGAATTTTTTATTCTTTTCGATCTAGTACCAGAATAACTGCGAACCATTCCATTCAATATGTCGAATAAGGCACGCAGGAGGAGATCATTACCATGGAATGAGTCAACTTGATCTGAGATGCAGCTTTCAGCATGTTTTCGTTATATCATAGATATCCAGGTTTATTGGCGCTGTAGAGGCAGTGATTTGGATTATAACGTAATCTACAAAGTCTCCGTGTCCATTTGAAGTATACATATGCTTTGAAAGGATTACTTTGTTGGCTCCTACCCCCACTGAGTGTTAACAACAGCTGCTGTGGGTTTATGTATTTCCTCGCCTTTTTGGATAAAACATCGCCGCATTCTTTTTGGGTAGGAGACCAGTTGGTGGATTATAAATGATATCCAAGTAACTTTTATCTTTTCATGTGGTGTTGCGGTAAGTTTCTACCTTGTTTTCTCATATTTCATTCGTATGTTGATTATGGTTCGCCCTTTGTATCAGGTAGACATAGTTTGATCGACTCTTGGTTGAATGGGTGTTATTGTCATGACTGCTGCTTTTTTGTCTGGAATTATAAATAGAGACAAAACAAACAACAGGTGTAGTCTCTGAGTTCATACATTAAATGGGCCTATGATTTCTGAAACTCTTACATGGGAATTACCATTGGTATCAATTACAAACTCACTTAGTGTGTCATTAAGTGCCTTTTCAAAGGAGGCCAATGTGCTTGCTAGTCGTATTTTCTCAGGTAGTTTGTTCCATATTTGGGCATACCTAATCAAGAAAAACTTTTGCCTGGTGGCTGTTTTACATGGTTCTATAGCCACTGTACCTTTAGTGTGCCTAAGGTTGTATCCTGTGTTACCTGAGGACCGAGTATAGTTAGCAGGGGTATACACTATTTGGTTAAGAAGCTTATAGAAGAGTAACAGATTTAGTCGCAGTCGCCTTAACCATAATGTTTCTAGTCCCAGGATTTCACATCTGGTAGAGTAGTTTGTGCCGTTATCGGTTCCGAGTACTTTTCGCGTGAAGTACCTCTGTACTCCTTCTACTTTCAGTTTGTCTTCTATGCGTGTACTGCTGAATATGAATGAGCAGTAATCTAGGAGTGGGCGCACACATACCTTGTACAGTAGTATTCTGGACTCGTTTCTGTAGAAGTTCCTGAGTAGGAAACCAATAAGCCTTCGTGATTTCGACACTTGATTCGAGATATGCTCTGAAAATGATAGATTGTGTGAATATTTCAGTCCTAGGTCTAGTACAGATTTGAGTCTGGGGATTTTGTGGCCCTGAATTGCTAGGTTGAGGTCAAGGTTGGAACAGCCTATGCAGAGCCATCCACACTTTTCAACATTAAACTCAAGTCTCCACGTGTCACACCATCTATCCATTTTTGCTAATTCTTCATGTATGGAGTTCATAGTTGGGCCGATATCTGTATTTGTGCAGGTATATGTCACCTTCAAGTCATCTGCATACAGTATTGGCTTGCCTATACTAAAACATTCACATATACTGTTTATGTATATAATGAAAAGAAGGGGTCCCAATACACTCCCCTGGATGACACCACTGCTGATTGGTCTAGGTCTGGAGGTCATTGAGCCAACTTTAGTTGTCTGATTCCTGTCATACAGAAATGATTTTATCCAATTGTAGAGGGGGTTGCGTATCCCTAGTGAGCATAGCCTACCGACTAACAGACTATGTGGGACTCTGTCGAAGGCTTTCCTTATATCGAAATAGAGGATAATCACTAGCTCTCTCCTATCTCTTCTATAGGTGACTTCGTTGAAAAAGTCTATATGGCAAGTGACGCAAGATCTTTTCTTGAGGAATCCGTGTTGTGACAGGTTGATGAGTTTATGTTTTAGAAAGTAGTCTGACATTTGGTCTTTGATTACTTTCTCCATGATCCTTGATATGACTGGTGTTATATTGATAGGCCTATAATTACATGCACTAGTTTTGGCCCCTCCTTTATGCTTAGGTAATATATATGTGTTTTTCCAAGTTTCAGGGTAGGTTTCGGTCACTAGTGAGATATTAAATATTCTAAGTAATAATACAATCATATCCGTACCACCGTTTTTGTATATGACGGATGGTATATCGTCTATCCCACAACTACTGTTAGCTTTTAATGTCCTTACCGCCGATGCTATATTTTGTATATTAAAGTTTATTTCACCTAACTTGTAGTTATTTTTGCAGGTTATGTCGAGAATTGGGGACGGATGTGCTTTGGTGTTATTGGAGAACCACTCACTCAGGAGTTCACTAATGATCTGGGGATCATCATAAATTATATCTTCGTGTTCTAAATGACTGATATTGTTTTCTTCACCCTTCTTCATCCGTTTTTGCAAGATTTTGCAGAGTTCCTGGGTTTTAGAGGTGCCCTCTAGGGCTTTATTTTCCTCGACTTGTGCTTTCATTTTATGTCTCTCATCTAAATTTTTAAATATTTCGTGTATCAGGTGTAATGCATTAAATTCTTTGTATAAATAAAATCTCCTTTTTAGTTTCCTTAGTTTTATTCGCGTTTTGCGATCTATGAACAGAGTTGGTGTCTTTAGGGCAGATTTCAGGGGTGCGATTGTGTCTCTTACCGAACTGATTGTCTTGTAGAAGGTATTTAGTATTACTTCTAAGTTATTATTGGTGAAGTATTCACCCCAGTCTGAGCTTCTCAAGAGCGTTGGTAGGAATTCCCAGTCGGCATTTCGATAGTCCCTATATTGATAGTAAACCGGGGAACTCTTAGGTGTGTGTTTAGTTGTTAGTTGTAAGGGTAGGGTGCAGTACAGTATGTTGTGGTCACTGTTGTCGAGTTTATCCCTCACCTCTATCGAGATCGGCTCTATTTTGTGACAGAGGATTAAGTCGAGTATATTGTTGTGTCGTGTTGGGAGGCGTACGCACTGCTTCCATCCTCCCACATCTATGGCTTCTAGGATCACCTCGTAGGTTCTCGGTCCAGTGCAGGTATCCCAGTTCACTCCAGGGAGGTTGAAATCGCCACAAACTAGTTTGTAGTCGAATTCCAGCTTAGGTACAACCTCTAGTATTTCTCCGATAACCGTATCAGTCGTTATAGGGCTGTTAGGGGCTCTGTATATACATCCCACAAGAATGTTATTTTCATTCGTGTGGATGCTTATCCACTTGGATTCTGGGAGTTTGTCGATAGTTAGGTTTGTAAAGGTATTGGAGTTAGTGGATTTAGAGGCATATATTAGACAGCCTCCTCCTCTCTTGTCTGCTCTGTCATTCCTGTGGATGTTATAGTTATCGATTATCAGCTTTGTGTCAGGTATATCAATAGTAAGCCAAGTTTCAGTTACCAGAATCAGTGTTGGCCGCTCCATGTATACCAAGCTGCGAAGGGAAGTTATTTTGTTAAGGAGAGATCGAGCATTTAAAAGCATAATTTTCAGAAAACCAGGGTTGTTGGGATAGTTAGTAGGTTTTCTTGTTACTATCCCTAACTCCTGGTTGCCTATGTTATGTTCGGAGGAATCCTCATATGAGACATTGTCAGCGTGTTTACTATTCCCTGGACAAATTGTGCTGCGAGGGGGGCTATTGCTTGCTGCAGCCGAAAATAATCCTGTTGCATATTTTGACTATTAGCATCCATGGGTCGGCATCTGCGTTCATCTACTGGTGATATATGGTCTGCCCTGCAATTTGGGTTGTAGTTTGCTGGACAACTGGCTTGAAAATAATTGTATTAAAGCCAAAAGTGGACATCATGATAGTACGAAATATATTGGTTTTATTATACATTGCAAATGAACGTTGTAGGCCTAAGGATTAATTACTTCCCCATTCTGTTTTCTATATAAATGTGTTTATTAATGATATATTTCACTCACTTAATCTATTACACTTTAATGTTTCACCTTAGCACTTTAACTTTTCTAAAGCACTTTCCAATCCCTTGTAAACGTTGTACTTACCTCAATATTGGTTGGTTATCGTATGCCTACAACCACGGGATGAAAACGAAACGAAGTAGATTTTCCCGCTCAACCTGGAGGACAATTGTACAATTCAATAACTATACAGCCTAGTTCAGACAATGAGTGTATTTATATATATATCAGATATTTAACTGTTGAAACATTATTAACTTGTAGACAATTTAAGATTTGACATTATAACATACTTGATCGTGCCTGTAAAAATGGCATGCATTTTCATGTAAATTTATGTTTATATGAAAATAAAAATTATTATTATTATTAAGTACAACGTTTACAAGGGATTGAAAGCTGATTAAAAAATTAAAGGTGCTAAGGTGAATCAATAAATTGTAATGAAATGGGTAAGTCCAAGTATCACTAATAAATGCAGCGGTTTCTTTTGATGGGCATTTTATTTAAAACGAACCAGGAAAAAATTTAAATATGACTTTAAATATATATAACCTTTATAAATCAGTGATAAAAGCTAATGAGTGCACACAGATAGATATATATAGCTATTAAGTTATAAGAACACAACTTCCTATAATTTCATAGACTCAAATCTGAAACGCAAACTAACTACGATCAGAATAAACTGATTTAAAGTTAAATCTGTGGACTTTTGGAGCGTATAACACAACAAAAGCCAATTATAAACAAGAGCGTGAAAATTAACTCCCTTTTCAAAGTTCGTGCGGTTATGTCTTATATATCTATTATTATTATCTCTTTTCTTTTGACGACGATACCAGAGGACTAACTGGTGAAAGAATCAACTCCATTCACAGTAGTTACAGTCTTAACACACCTCATACTACACACCACCTATGATTAATCCCAGCACTACTACTTTTGGAGTCAACCAAATCTACGACAGTCGAGTGGCGGGACGAGGTATGCAGAAGTTTACCGAAGATCAGGAACCTACACCTAACAATCGAGAAGCGAGCACAAAGAAATTAAATTGGTTAATACTAGCTCGTGAAAACGATATTGGATATTGAAATGAGCAATAGAGGCGCTGTATTCGTATGGAACGTTTCAGATATCTTTGGCGGTAAAATAATGTTTTGATGGAAAGAAAGGGTAGGAAGGATCATGAAGCATGGGGCGTTAGAATGGTTTCTGGAGTAGAGTGCTTGTGCAAGGTTAGAGTATTCGTTGCTCCTGATCTGCCAGCTTTGGAAACGTCGAACTCGTCTGATTACGAGGTACGTATCCAACAATCGCTTGCATACATGGTGTTGTAGAATATATTACTGCAGTAATAGTTGACTCTCGGCATTTAGATAATGCGTTATATGGTTATTTGTCTTTTTAATTTGGTTTTTATTGCTTTCACAAATCATAATACAACGTTTAGACTGCATCCCAGTCGGTTAATGCACATGGGCAAACGTGGGCAAACGTGGGATAAAAGGGTAATTTAGATCGGCAAACACGTGGGCAAAAGATGGTGTAAATGCAACCGATTTTACCCACTTTGGCCACATTTCCCACTTCCCCGTTTTCCCATGTCCAGATAAAATTTGTTTGTCCCACCTTTTCCCAGTTTTCCCACGTAACCCACGTTTTCACCCATTTATCCCATGTGCAGGAATTCAAAATATACCCACTTTTTCCCCGTTTGCCCATGTCATTTTAGAAAACAGCCCACTTATGCCCACTTTGCCCATGTTACAAACGAAAACAGCCCACCTTATCCCACTTTGCCAACATTTAAACGGAAAACTACCCACGTTTTTACCCACATATCCCAGGTCCACAAAAAAGTAACCGACTGGGATATCATATGAATATTCATTAAATTCGAGCTGATTTCTGGTTGTAATTAAATTTGTTTTAAATGCTTGCTGTATATTAGGACCCATTTGCCTCCAGCAATGAAGTTCTGGGGTCAGGATCTGTCTACACATTTGCTACTAACAATTAGTTGTGGTGGTAATGTATATGATTTGAGCACTGTTTACATCAAGGTGCAGACTGTGGTTTAGTTAATGTGGTGTAGGCTACTTTATTATGTGATTTTTCTGTTGAGTATTTTTATAGTTGTGTTCCAAATGTATTAAGTGGATGTGTCTATACTGACTCCATAAGTACTTCAAAAGTCAGTGTCTCGACTAAGTGATCTATATTTGGAAGAGTAATGAATTGATTCCGCAACCAAATGACATCAAAGGAACCTAGCGGACCGCTCGATGTTACAGATTAACAATTTCCGCGATTTTTGTCACGTTTCATTCTGATTCAGCGATAGGATAATAGTAAGGTTAAGGTTAGGGTGAAACTTTCAACGAAGATTATGGGCAGTATTCATTTGAAGTTCCGAGCATTGTGACTATCATCATTAAGTTATATTCATCATGAAGTCAGTCACTCATCAAAATTACTGGATTTTATAACTGGTACTCACAGATTCTGTTGAAGGATTTTGGGCATATCTAAAAAACGGAATGGTGTATGTCTGTAGCCACTCGTATGAGCTGTTACTTCTTTGTGCGGTATATTAGAGACTTATAACGTACATAATTCATTTCTATCACGTATTTATGTACATGGTAGACATCCTTTTGTGTACTACAAATGTCACTTATTTCTCAACATCACTTTGGTATAAATTCTTTACTGTTGTCCAAAATCCGCAACAATTTCAGGTTTTGTAATGAAACGTTGGGATCTATTAGAAACCTACATTTAGAATGCTATACACACAGCTGTATTTCTGCGTAATGCGTAGAGTGTTATAGGTCTTGATGTATAGTTTGTTAAAGTTTGTTGAACTTCCAGTAGTGAACGAAAGGGTGGTTGAGGAATTGAGGTGAAGTACACCTATTACAGAGGTTCCACCTAACTGCACAAAAATGACCAGCGTGTGTGAGACTTGGAGCTCGGTTCTTGTTATTTAGGACTAGTTCCTGTGTTCTGGTGTATTCTGTCTTGACTGCTGAGGCTTGCAAATTCCATCCTGCCAGGCACTCTGGTTCGGTCAGCAAACGCTAGAAAAAGCGATACTAAGCGAGTTGAAAGGGAATAGGTTGACTAAACAAATGGAAGTTGGGATAAGAGGATCGAATGTAAGGTAGATAAAATAGGGAGACCATATGCAATAGAAATAAAAGGAAAAAAACATGGCAAAACTTGTGGGGATAGAGGAAATATTATAAATATCTGAAAAAGTTAATGAGGTATGTTAAAATAAGCAGGACATTTGTAGTGCGGGTACCGCTCCTTACTGATCCACATAAACCTACCGGTTTTGCTGGAATATACTAACTGATGCAGCGGTTGCTCAGTTTGTGGGTAGTAAATTCCCTAGGTGGCATAGCGTGAAAAAATCATGTCAGGGTTGCCCCAAGGGATACCATAGTGACCTGGTGACATATTTCGGATTGAGTGCATTAGACTATGCACTATTTTGTGCGCTGGTTAGACAAGGTGGTTCTAGACCTGTGTTTGAAAGGTAAACGCTTATATCTATGAATAACCTTTTATTTCGCTTGTATGAAGTGTAACTAGTTGACATTTTCGGTGAATTCAATTCACACCTTGAAGACGTAAAGACATTTTTGGCGCTCTACACATTATTGTTAATCTCAGGACAGACGCCCAAGTTGTCTTAATACTTTGGTATAATAGTGAGTCTAAAATATCTCCATGTTTTCGAACTTTCTATTTACTTTTGGCTGGCTGGTTTCAACATCGAACTTTGCACATATATGCAGCAGTCCAGTTTGCCACTCCCTCCTTGTAGCATACAAAGCAAAAGAAGAGAATAAAGAAAGATTCAAAAGAGTGAGTGAGGGGAAAAGAATAGTAATATGGAAAAACAAGAGAGTTTTATAAGATATGACAAACCAAAGAGTGCATTTGTGCCAGCCACTGAGAACGATTTTGAGCCATATCGCCAATTTTCTCCAGTCTCCATTGGTTCTCACCATCCCGATGACATTAACTAGGAAGCCAGTCTACACATCCCCATGTGGCTGCCCAGCTTAAACTAACTGTTATGGATTTCATTGACTGATGAAGCCATGTTACCGTGTATGACCACCACTAGTTGTCTCTTCTCCAGCCCGATCGATCCTGTGTCATCTAACATTTCCCGTCGAGGAAGGCGATGGCTACCCATGTCTGTGTAACATATGTCCTAACCATCTCAATCGATGCGGCGTTACGACCTCATCGATTGATTTTCCCACCTCAGGTAGGTAACAGTAAACGCCTAAGCCGAGCATTACTCACCCTTTTACAGCCACCACCTAACATCGAAGATAGAATGCAGACATCTATGATCAAAGACAGCTAGCCAGCCTGCCTTTTCATGTCTTCCACTTTCATTGACCGTGTCTCATTCATGGCCATCAGGGAGGATGAAGCGAGCTGCTGAGCAATACACACGTCCTTTGATCGATATCCAGCTGGATATCACGTCTACTAAGCCAGAGATGATGCAGGTTGGCACATGCCACACAAGCCTCTAGCATCTGTGGTAAGAGTGAGTCACCACTGCGTCGGTGGCACAGTGGTTGGGACTCTCGCCGACCATGCACATGGTCTGGGGTTCGAGCCCACGCCGGCGCACACCTGATATCTATGGTCGGCCTGCAAAATTTGGGCTACCGATATCCATGCTGAAAATTCCATACTTGTACCAAAAATACAGTGTGGAATCAAGCTGTAAATCAAAAAAAAAATAATTGGGGCTGGTGCAATTTCCCAAACAATTAGTGAAATGGTCAACACGCTCTACCATTTCTCTCACTCCCTATCTTTAAGCTAGGAGTAGATGTAGTCCAGTTGTGTAGCCTCATTATCTTACATTTGAAGGGACAGAATGGCATGCCAGACATATGGAGATTGCTTCTTGAGGTGTTCAGAAGACTCTGCTCTATTTAGTCAGCATCTCCACGTAGGAGGACTATATTATCCGTATATTCTAGGTGAACAAGACTATTACCTGGTAAAAGTTCAATCCATAATCCGCTGGAGTAAATTAGTGTTAATTTCATCAGTAAATCAGTGATGAAATTAAACAAGAAAAGGGACAGTGTCTGTCCCTGACGGACACCATTGATTGTCATAACTTCAGATGACAATTCTTTGTAGGCTCTTACCTGGCTGTATGAGTTCGAGTAGAATGCCTTGATCAGTGCGATGAATTTTCTTGGCATTTCCTTCACTGCCGAACATCACTATAATACCTCTTGGTTGACGTTATCGAATTCCGCTTCCAGGTTAAAAAATATGGCATTCGTTGGACGCTGGTAGGTACTTTTGAATTATTAGTAAGGTGTGGAAGTGGTCATGAGTTCAACACTTCCCCAGTCTCCAGCATTCATTTGTTTAGGTAATATAATATGCATCTACAATAAGTGTTGCTTGCAGTTTAACACATGCATATACATAGATGTTAATTCGTGGTAGCTGATATGGTATATTGTTATGTCTGACAAATCTCTGTACTAGTGAAGATATATCTGCTGAACAATTGGTCAAAGTATCTTGTCTTCTTGACTGGCTTCTATTTCTATTTCTTTGTCTCATACCTCTGCTTACTGTCTCTATTATGCATTTCTACTTTCTTCTCTTGCTTTGTGTGCTACGTGGAGTGTGGTGACTTGAACTGCCGCACATATGTGCAAAGTTCTATGTCGAAAACAGACAGACAGACAGTGGCTGACTGACAGCAACTTGAAATTTTGCAAAGCAGTGTATTAGTTCAAGTTGGTCACTTAAAAACAGAAAAAAATATATACTGAAAGTGTAGTGAATGAATATGTGCCAAGTTAGTGTTCCTAATATTTAAAAATTCCCATTGAGTCATATAAAAGAAAAAGCCTTCAGCGAAGACTTTCTCTTTTTAGTGGTATCATTCTCAAAGCTGTACAATCGCATATATAGAGAGAATTTTCTTAGGAATAAAATGAATATTTCCAAAGATTTGATAACAAATTACGTAATGTAGAAAGCGTTAGTCGGGTAGAAACTAAAATAAGATTAAATAAGCAGAGTGAGTGATGCAATCTAATTCACGGGGTTGAGTATAGTTCAACTATAATTAAAACTGAACAAAAGTCAAGTTAACAACAGCGATAATAAGGGGTGGGGGGAAGAAAATATCATACAATTTAGAAACAAAACTACATATTTGGTGTTAAGGTAGGTCAGGTCCACGGTAGATTTAATTCTGAACAAACTTCTTTTGTATGCAGGCTTAAGGTTTTAACATGTGAATTGCCATTGCTTCTGCGGTTTGAAGAAGTTTCATTTGTACTCTCATGGCAAGATTCCCACGTATTCTGCAGATGACTTTGAAGTTTCTTTGTGGTTTTGCTTGGTGTCCTGATTCGATCAGGTGTTTCAGATTAGGGCTGCGGAGGACCCTTTTTCCACTGTGTTAAACCGTGAGAGTAAGTTTTCGATGATGCGTTTGGATAACAAACGCTAGGTACGACCGACATATCTAGCGTCACTTGAGCAGGTGAACTGGTAGATGCTAAGGCCAACAGTGGTAGCTTGTCCTTGACGTTCATGCAAATCTCTGGTTTTGTAGAGAGATATAGTCGGAGTTCAGCCTCAAAGGCTTTTCTCAGTGAGCAGGACAGTCGGGTTTTCAGTATTTCTGCCGATAGGTCTCCATGGAATTGTAGATTCAGATAAAGTAGTTTTTGAAAGCAGAAAGTGTGGGCGGTTTTGGTGGTTTAGGTTACAAAGATTTTGTAATGAAGCGTTCTGGGTTGCCATTTTCAAGAGTGTTTAGCTCCTCTTTTATAGTATCAGGACTACAAATGCTGTGGATTATGTGGCCCAGTGGACGGATGAGGCGTCACCCACAGGGGCATCCAACTGTGAAAGTTGCCAAGTTGTCCGTTTCATGTTGTCTTTCTGTAGATGGGTCTTTTTAGTGTTCCATCTTATTCGTGTCTTGTTAATTGGATGTACAGAAAAGATATTGTAGTGTCTGATTCCTTCTCTAGTATGAACTAATCTGCTGAATGGCAGCTATTGATGAAGTTCGCAATGTTTTCCAAGGGAGTAGTCATCTTTATATGTGTTTTTCTAGTATGACATGAAAAAGTGCAAGCAACGGGTTAAGTGGTGAGCTCATAGCTATTCCGTCTTTTTGTGGATATATTTAGTTATTGAAAAAGAATTGGGATTTTAGAGTACGTCTCAGTAGGAGTTTCTTCAAATATTCAGTGAGTATACCAATATTCATCCCCTTTGAATCAATATCTTCACATATATAGCATATTGTTTTAGTTAGTGAGACGTTTGTAAACAATGATACCACAACTAGTGAGAACATGGTTTGATTAGAAACATTGACATCTTCAATGGAATTGACAAAGTCAAAGGAACCTCGGAATGATTGGCAGAAAATTTGCCTTATGACTGGTTCTAGTAGGTGTACTAGCCATTGGGCAGTTCGATGCTAAGGTGAATTAGTCATATCGAGAATATGCACTTTCGGTAATCCATAAAGTAGGGGTATGTTTGAGTCAGACAGCCTCAGCGATTCGAAGGTTTCAGCGTTGATGAGTGATTCAGTTCTTAGTTTTCGGAGAGTATCTGTTAGTTTTTGTTCAACTGGCTCTGTCATTTTCTTTTCATTGGTTGATTTTGTGAATTCGGACTCATCGGATAGGACGATCAGCGTTTTGCTTATGTAGTCTTCATGGTTCATTACTAAGATTCCCCCACCTTTATCAGGGTGTGTCAGAATAATCTCCTTGTTGTGTAATAATTCCTTCAGCCCTTTATAGTTTATTTTGGTTAACATCGACCTCTCATTTGGTTTGGCATTTATAAACTTATCGCACTTGTCAAGGACTGACGATTTGAATTGTTGTAGGTTCTCTCCAGATGTTGGTAACAAGTTACGTACTTGATTTATCAGGTTTCCGAACTGAACCTGGGCTTGAAGCTTCGGGGTACTTGATGGTTTCACTCAGAATTTCGGACCGAGGGATAGCGCTTCTAGTTGAAGAGTTGACTCCTTATCACCACTGTTGTTAACTTCTGTTCAGTTTTAATTATAGTTGAGCTATGCTATGATTATCAGAATATGCACCACTGGGAATGATTTTGAGACGTTGCCGAAAGTCTTCAATGAATTAATTACCTCACACTACTCACTTCTTCAGACGGATATCGGAATATCATACCGATGCCAAAGATGACGCAATTTGGCGAGTACCAACTTTTCGTCAACAGGTAGTTCGTTTGGTTTTAATGCAATTTTCCAAATAAGTGAAGTGTTCACTGCATTCAACAGTTTCACTCCATAACCCCAGAAACAAGTAATATTTATTCCCAGAAATTACTGCATCTAAATATATGTGCGTGTGCGTCGGTGGCACAGTGGTTAGGACTCTCGCCGACCATGCACATGGTCCAGGGTTCGAGCCCACGCCGGCGCACACCTGATATCTATGGTCGGCCTGCAAAATTTGGGCTACCGATATCCATGCTGAAAATTCCATACTTGTACCAAAAATACAGTGTGGAATCAAGCTGTAAATCAAAAAAAAAAAGTTACATTGGAGGTATTCTCACACAGTGGAATGGAAATTTATCTATCCAACTCATTACTTCTAAGCAGCAGATTCTGCTCCGTGACTGTGCTAAAGTATCAGTAGACAGGCCCCGTGAACTTATAAGAAGCTCATGTAATTATTTTCTGACTCATGTTTTTCTTATTGATAGTCAATATATGGTATTTTTGTACTTTTTTAATTTTTAGTATGACTTTCTTTACGAAAGGCAAGTGGTTGCTGATCACGAGGAGTTTTTAAAATCAAAAAAGCATTTAGATCAGACAGCACCAACACCAGTTTGTGAGGCTCCGTCAGTTCAACCAAATGTGCCATCAGAAAACAACAGCCGGAAAGTAGTGGAGTTATCGTCTCGTCCTCATGTCTCCGACTCACAGTCATTTTCTTCATGTGATTTGCGCCCATTATCACTTTCTTCGGCGCCTCCACCACCTGCTGCCGCAAGCCATCTTGTATCTGGGCAAATTTTGCTTCCCAGCATCCTGGATGGAAACCTTAACCAACTCCCTCCCCCTCATATATCAGAACAAGTGGGACTCCAAGACAGTCAACATACTGGTCCTAGTTCAGAATTTAACTGTGCTCCTCGTGCTTCCGCCAGTTCTTCAGCCTGTACATATCTGAAAGATTTTGATAATGGAGCTGATGATCCATTTGCAATGACTGAACTGAAAACAATCAATGAGCTTGAGGAGTTGAAGAAAATTCTTTGTGATTCATTTACTGGTGGTTCTGGTGTGCCGTCATCATCATCATCATCAGCAGTAGTAGCAGATATGCTGGCAGGCAAAGATACCGTGTCTGCATGCAATGAAAAACCTCATCCGACGAATGATTTAGAGGTGCAGTCTTCTGTAAATTCAGACAATTTGAGTTATTCCTCTTTTTTCAGTTCTGATAAAACGTTAACAATTGATAGATCTCCTGAAACAATCTTTGTACAACCTAAGAGTTACTCTCAATCTCATCTCAGAAGTATTCAGTCAAATACTGAGCTTAATTCTGGAAAATATCTACATGATGAAGCTATTTTAAATGTTACACCCAATAATCTTTTATTAGAGTCCACAAAGTTGAGTCATAAGAAAACGGAAATATCTACAGCAGGCTTAAATTCAAGTTTCTCACAAAATATAAAGGTGAGTGTTTTACTTAGTCTACACATTGTTTTCCTTATTTGACAGTCTAGAAATATTTAATGTTTTTGTATTAATTAATACAAAAGATTAGCTGTCTTTGATAATAAGTGCCTGCGTTCTGTCTCCCGTGTGAAGTGGCATAATAAGGTGAGCAATATTGAGGTTAGCCGTCGAGTGCTAAGTAAACAGGGGAAATCAATAGACGAGGTCGTAAAGTTACATAGACTGAGATGGTTAGGACATGTGTTACGTATGCCTAGTCATCGCCTTCCTCGACGAGCAATGTTAGCGGATGTAGGGTCAGGCTGGAAAAAAGCTAGCGGAGGTCAAACCAGAACATGGCACCAGTCAATGAAATCTACAACAGTTAGTCTAAGCCAGCCACGTAGAAAGGTGTAGACTTCCAAGCTGGGGTCCTCAGGACGGTAAAAACAAATGATTGGAAACAATTGGTGACATGGCTCAAAATCTTTCTCAGTGGCTATCGCAGATGTATCCACTCCTTGTGACTTATGATTTCCAGTGAAACTGTTTTGTTCTTCGTTATTACTCTTCCTTTGTCTCATACCTCTGCTCACTGTCTCTATTATGCTTTTCTTGTACTTTCTTCTCTTCCTTCGCGTGCTACACGGAGTGTGGTGACTTGAACTTCCGCACATATGTGTAAAGTTCTATGTCGAAAACAGACAGACAGACAGTAATTAATACATGCGACACTGTAAAAAATTCATTGTACTTTTGACTATCGGAAATAGATGATGAATTATTCAAAAGCGGGACAATTCTGTCACAGTGGTATAGGTTATTAATCATCGTAGTGTATAATAAATGGAAAAGGAGAATCAGTGTGACTGACTGTTATGGTGCCTAAGAGATCCTAGGTTCATAACTATACGGGGGTTATAGAAATGTTCAGAGAAAGGAACTCGAGGGTACCAAGCTCGGACAAGGTTATATTAGTGAAATCTTTATCCTTTGGCTGGTTATCACAGATGTCTCCCTTCGGTCTCGCACCTTAAGGTAAGAAAGAAAACTCAAATGACGAGGTTATAAAGCTTCATCGGTTGGTATTGAAGCATGTGAAAATTGTGCTGAGCGAAATGATCTGAGGTGGGAGTAACTCTGAAAACTATTCTGGAGTAGTCGAGCACAAAATAGCATTAATAAGTAAAGTTATTTATTGATGCTAGGTATTTTAGATCGCATGATGGAGGTGCGGGAAGTTTGGAGATCTTGTAGCATAACTCTAAACCGTTTGCAGTGGTTGTACCAATGAGCCCAGTCTCTGTTGTATAATAAATCCTGAAAATCTTCAGTTACTTTCTCTGTTACGACCATTTTGTTCCTCTTTCGTTGTTTTGTGCATTTACTTGAAGTGTGGTAACTTGAACTACTGTGTACTGCTGCCAAGTTCTGCGTTTTCTCGTCAATCTGTCAATTAATTTTCGATTGGTTTTGGAATACAGACATAGTTATTGGCGTCTGACATTTAATTGATCTGAGGGGCATAATTCGATCCCGTCGATTGATGAGTCTTGTAGTAACGTTTGTCTCTAAAGAGAGCATGCAGAAAGTTTACTACTTTTATTAGGTGTTAGAAAGGGTTGCCCTATCTCTCTACTTCTCTTTAACTTTGTCGTCGGTGACATTCTGGAGTTAGCCTGGTGGTGGTGTAGATCTGCTTCCTGGAGAAAGACTCCTCGGCCTCGAGTATGCAGACGATATCGTCTTACTGTGCAAACTGTCCAAATTGCACTTAATCAGCTGGAGATCAGCATCTGCAAGTATGGTATGTGATTTGCACCGTTTAAGTGCAAAGTACTGTCACAAGACTGGCAGGAACATGTACTCACCCGCACTCACTCTTGCAGGTGAACCACTTGAAATTGTCGATTAGTTCGTGTATCTGGGTAGTTGTGTGATTACCGGTGGAGGTGTGGTGGACGGGATTTCCAATCGTACTATAAAAACCAGGATAGTATATGTCGATTGAGCCACTTCTGGTGTCGTCGCTACGCTAGTCTGGTTGTCTAAGGTCGGGTTCACAATGCTTCGGTGAGTACAGTCTTGCTCTACACCTGTGAAACTTGGCGTCTCCGGGTAGGCTGAGGATGTCCCCTGACTCTGTGTATTCGATCATTGCTATCTCTTTAAAATTGTTTACGTTCGGTATTATCATCATGTGAACAAATGTGAGGTGCAGTGGAGTGTTTGGACACAGCAAAGATCACTATTCATTGGGTGTTATCGTGATCTGGAAATACCGGCTTTGGCGGATTCGACGTGTGGTACGAATCTGTTGTTAGTCTGCTGTGTTGGTCTGTATTCGCTAGTCCTGCGGCTAGATGGAAGAAAGGAGAAGGTGGTCAGCCTATGAAATGGAGTCATCAGATGAAGGATATTTGTGTTAGGTTTGCATTGGCTTGTATACCACGACTCTGGTTGTGGTCTGAGAGATAGCTCGAATCGGTGGCACGACATGTTATCGGATGTAGCCACGAATCTCAATCAACGGCGGATGTGCTGTGATCTCTCTCTTTCTTCCCCTTCAGACTATAATTCGACGAATGCTGTTAAATAAAGCTGCTTCCTTTCCGGATGAAGTCCTTTATTCACTCTCTACTTACATTGCTTTTCATATGTTGTTGTTTTATTATCATCATTATCGTGTGGCATATCTTCTTGATGCCATATCGTACCTGGCTTTGTGTTTTAAGTAAAATAAATAATACAAACCTAGTCCAAGGATAGGAAGTGAAATGGTCCGACTAACTAACCACTTCATCAATTATTTAAGAAATTATATCAAGCCTAATGAACTAGTTGTTGTTAAAGTTTCAATAGATATACAGAAAATCTCTCTCTTTGTTTATTTGTCAACTTGCAACATTTTCTGAACCCAATAAAATATGTAAGATTATCCATCAAAGTAGATATGCGCTTGAAGAGCGACATTGTGTTCTCTCCCACCATAGAAATCACAAACCATGGCATATGAATGAAAGAATAACGCGAAAGATAATACTTTCGGCTATTGGTGTCCCTGTAACGCATCTCATCTGAGTTGTAGTAAAATAGTAAGAAATGTTTGCGAACGTTAAGTTTTGCTTTACCTGAGCCATTAAATAACGTATAGATTGCTTGGCAGGCATTCTTAACATAATAAGAATAATTTTCAAGTATTGGTTTTGTAGGGATTTTGTTTAATTGCATGGAGGACTTCCCAGGTTTTCCAGTGGTTCTCTAACTGATGTCAGCTCATGATGAAATCCTCCATGCAATAATAATAATAATTGGCAATTTAGCGAAGGTAATTTTCTTTATCGAGGAAATCATCTTCAGAGGCTGTTCATTCGTATTTATATTTGAGTATTACTGGGTGGGTGCGTCGGTGGCATTGCGGTTAGGATGCTCGCCGACCATACACATGGTCCGGGGTTCGATCCCCGGCCGACACACTTCTTTACCTCGCTAAGCCAGAAATAATGCTGGTAAAGAGGAAAGGTTGAGCATGAGGCTAGCAACCTCATCCTGTAAAATTAAACACTGCTACAGAAACTTCAAGCCACTAGCTTGAAGCCCTATTTCCCGCTGGGGAACGTGAAGGAAAAAAATTACTGGGTGGGGTGACGTAACTGACATAATTATTCAGAATTGGCTTCAAAAGTAAAAATGAAAGTTATGAATTACGTAACACTCAACAATGGCACAAAGGAAGAAAGAGTTAGAAATTAGATAAGGTTGAAGTTGTCCTTCAGTACAGCTGGTTCCATTTATTATTATTATATCCTTTAATTCCTAGAGGAATATAGGGCTTCAGCTGCGCGTCTCCATTGCGTTAGGTTTTCCGCCAACTTTTTCACCCTGCTCCAAGTCTGCCTACATGCTTTCATCTCCTCTTCACATGACCTCCTCCAAGTCACCTTGGCGCTGACGTCCAACTCGCCGCTTCCCTTTCGGGTTCCGCTCGAGGGCCTGTCTTGTGATGTCACTTGATGGTTTCCTCAGCGTATGGCCAGCCAATCCATCTCCATTTCTTCCTGCCTATTTGTTTCACAATCGGTTCCTGGTTGGTTCGCTCATTGCCAGAGATCGCTGTTGCTGATCTTTTCTAGTCATCTGATCTTGAGTGGTATTAATCGAAGACAACTGTTAATGAAGGTCTGAAGTTTGTTTGAGATGCTGTTTATGACGCACCAAGTCTCTGATCCGTATAGTGAGTAGCACTGACTAACTTCACGTTGGAGTTGAAGATCCGGATCTTATTTTTGATGCTGAGTGCTGTTTACCTCCACACAGACATAAGAGTAATGAAAGCTTGTCTTGCTTTTCCGATTCTGGCTTTGATGTCCTCGTCAGTTCCGCCTGTAGTTGAGACGATGCTTCCCAGGTAGGTGAAGGAGGTTGTTTCTTTCAGGTTCCTCCCATTTATGCTGGTTGTTGTCTGTTGTTGTCGCTGTGGCTGTTTCTGTTGGTCAGGAATCTTCATCACCTCTATGTTCATCTATGTTCACCTGAAAGAAGTCCTATCTTCTCTGGTAGCTTCTTCTGCCAGCTTGTTGCTTTTGACTTGCATATCTTCCAGTTAGTGGGAAATCGGACATTTATTACTTTGAATAAAAAAGTTAAAATTTTTTATTGAGTGAGAAGAGAGGTAGTCGAGTTCCCATTTAACATATGTGTGAGGAGGATGAAAAAATGCACAAAAGGAATATGTGAGAGTGATAATAGTGAAGTAATTATTAAAATAAAAGCAAACTAATCATTAAAATGACCTGGAACGACTAATGAAGAGGTTAGGAGCATGGTAGAATAAGAGACTGGACAAACTTTCTCCGTGTTCAGAGTTTGCGGTTGTATTGACGAATAGCCAATGCCTCCACCATACACAAACGCTGAAACCTAACGGCCTTTGTACGATTCAGTTTCATCTTTTAGATAACGTTGAAAGACAACTCTGGTGGCGCTGTGTGGCTTGCGTTCACCAGATGCTCATAACTTGAGCTAGCAATTGTCTTGCACTGTCCTCTTGCTAACCATACTAGATAATGTTCAGAGATGTGTCTAGAAAGTGTGCGCTCTATGTAGCCAATATAACCCCACAGTAACAAGTGAATTTATAAACACTCATTGATGTAGTCTAAAGCGGCAGTTTATCCTTCACATATCCATCGATCATTAGTCGGCTATAAAAACTGATCCGTCGCTCATTTGAAAAGAAGGCTTTTCTCAGTAATCTGGATAAACGGTTCTTTAGAATCTCAGCAGCAGTATCACTTTTAAATTCAACGTTGATAAGTAACAATTACTTTGGTACCGTCTAGGTTCTTTCAAACTTTTGCCTAACTTTCATGATTTTCTCGATAAATTTCGAAAGATATCCATTTTGCATGAGGACTTGTCTGACTCGTTCCAGTCCACCATCGATTGTATCAATGGTGCATATTCTTCTTATTTTCGAGGATAAAGAGTGGATAACATTTCTCATTCTTCTCAAAAGGGACCCAAATGTGAAAATTCGCGTATTTGACTATTCCGTGTTAACATATGACTGCACAGCTTTCGAACATGATTTTGTTGACAAAGAAAATTTCCTTCGTTGCATTGTCTTTTATTTTCTTCATGAGTTAATTGATATTTTCGATAATAAAAATAATTTTTGGGAGACTCTTGATGACATGGTTTAAAATTGTTTACAGTGTCATAGATGCATCCACTCCCTATTGTGGGTTCAAGTTATTCATAAGAATCAGCTATCAAGTGTCGACTAGAGAAAAGAAATTGTATCCTTGTTAATTGTTTCTGTGGAAGGGGATTTAAGTGTACTTCTCTGTCTGTAGTGCGATAAATTGTACTACAAGTGTAAAGCTACGAGACACGTGACTTGGTAAAAGAATGTTTATTTGGAATTGGGTATCGCTATATACAGAAATTATGTAAACTTTTTGTCACGTGACCATTTGCACAGATTTTCTGTATTGTGCTACCTCTGTACTTAATATTGTCTTTCTTTGTGTTACTTCCACTTCCCCCATGTTTCTCTGCAACGCAGAATCATTTGTTTTCTCTGATGTCAAATCCGTCTCCCTACTGTTTGATGTTTTTTGTGTCGACGAATGTCTCTTTACATACTATTGATAAATCTTATCCGTACCACACGCCACATTCGCCCGCCATCAAGTAATTTCGAACAGATCCGTTCCGACCTACTTGGTTCTACGCGTTCGTGTTGTACCTTGGTGTTGGCTTCCCTGGCCCACTGTATCCATTTCTGAAGTTGGCTGACGTCAGCCCGTTTCTGCTTATATCTTCTTTTGATGGTATTAAGTGGATCACGTCTCCCGGTGACAGTGTATGGCCCTTCCCACTTGGGGAGGATTTTCCATGAACCTGGCTCACATCTAACCGCAAACTTCCTTTCATTCTTTACACCTTACTTGATCGTCAACCTCAAAAGTCAGTGATCGCATCTTTTCTTCCTGTTTAGATTTTGCGGCGTCTTTCCTCTGTTGTATACACTTTACATTCCTGGTGGCTTCTTTCCGTCCCGTTCACAGCCTAGTCATACCTCATTCTTGGTTGAGGGGCCAGGTTGTGCTGTGAACTGGTAGTCGTGGTTTCCTCCCATAGATCAAGTTGAATGGTGACTTATTTGTTGTTTCCTGGGTGGAAGGAAGCACGATGTGCTAGTAGGACCAATAGGAGCTCATTCTCCCAGTTACCTGCCTTCGAGGCCAGCCACTCCTTCAGTGCACGGTTATTTCTCTCTCGTTTGTGGATGATACGGTTGTTGTTCGGATCTTCCTAAACGCCAACTCTTGCAAACGAGAAGTGAATTCTTCGCTTTCGAAACAAGGACTCTGATTTGTCAATATCGTCTTTGGTACATCGTGGTGGTGTGCAACGATATGTCGAACTACTAGGTCAGTCACAGTTCTCGCGCGTTGATCAGGGATCGCGATGGTATCTACCCATCGTGTAGCGTGATCTGTCACCCCCAGGAGGTACTGATTGCCACTGGATGTCTACCACTGGAGATGGACCCATCACATCTAAGCACCACAAGTCACCTACTGGCGTAACTGAAATAGACTGCGGAGGTGGTCATGTGCACTGATCTCCTTCCATCAACTGTCACTGTGGACATCCAAGTACAAATTTTGCCACATCTCTCATACCCGGCCGTCAAGTGCTTTGTCTCAGGAGGTTGGTTGTTCTTGCTACTCCTGTATGTGCTAGATGGTGACATTCTTGTGTCATCTCATGGCGTAGAGACTGAGGCTTCACTGCTAACCAGCTCCCATCGTTCTCTCACCAAGCCACAGTCCCGTAAGTGTTCACCCTTAATCAATCTTTCGATCTGAGTAGCGTAGTCAGCCCCTTACACACCGTAGGTCGATTTACTTCTTGACGTTGGTGATTACCTGTACAACTGTATTCAGTGTGGGGTGTGATTTCTGACTGCGGGAAAGAACTGATAAGTCGTGTTTCACAGCGTGCACTCCGTCAACAATCTCCGGTCACTTAGCTTCATTTTCCGGGTTTAGATAAAATGTCTGCCAAAAAATATTCTTTGTAAGGGACGTGTGAGATTGTGAAGTCATACTCCTGTACGCGAAACATCCATCGCGACAACTCACCTGGGTCTCTTACCGTCCTCAAATACTGTAGTGGCTTGTGATCAGTTTCTATGTGGACGCGTTGGCCGAGTAAATACGGTCTCTATTTGCCTATTGCCCATACTATCGCTAAACATTCTTCCTCTATAGTTGAATACTTCTGTTCTACCTGTGTTAAAACACGACTGGCACATTCAACAACTGCTTCACCCTGTCTAAGAACTGCGCCTATGCAGTGTGCACCTGTGCACACTGTGAACTGCTTTCCAGTCACAGACAGTTTTAGCGTCATTTTCTGGTGGTCTAAAAGCCGTTCAATGCTGTCGAATATTTCCTGCAAATCTCTCGACCAAACAAACTTCGACTCGCCTAATAGCCTGTACAGGCGGCTGCTATTTCGTTGGAGATTTTCACAAATCGACTATCAAATGCTGCTCTCCCCAGGAACATGCTGCCTTGGCTTTCTCTTGCAATTCGGGGACGTAATGGTCTTCACCGACAAGATTTTCGCTATTAGTGGCTTTATCTCACGACTGCCTACTTAATGACCAAGCAGCATAACACTCCATTTGGCTATCTGAGATTTAGTTTTGTTGATACGCGGTCCAAACTCTTACATGCGTCTTAACACGGCTCCGACATGGTTCGCGTGGTCGCTTTCGTTTCCACTGTAGATGACGAGACCATCACCGTACACCACCTTCACATTCTTCAGGTTTCTAAGTAACAACGTCACCTGTCGTTTGCAGGTAAACAGTGCACCTGTTAGTTCGAATGGCATGTATTTAAACCGATACTGTTTTTGACCCACGATTAACGCCGTCTTATCTCTGTCACTCGGTGACATGGCTCAAAATCGTTGTCAATGGCGCACATGTATTCAGTCTCTGTAATCTTTCATATTCCTTTCTACCATTACCCATTCTGTTTCACTCTCATACTTGTCAGACTGTATTGATTCTCTTCACTCATCTTCTTGTCTACTTTTGTGTGCTATTTGGAACGTGGCAACTGGAACTTCTGCACTTCGGTGCCAAGTTCTATGTTGAATCCAGACAGACAGACACTCGGTTTGATCGGTATCAGCCAATATCCTGACCGGAGGTCGAACGCTGTAATTAAATTCGCGCTTTGTAGACGATCCAAAATATGTACTACAGTTGGCATGGCACACAGTCAACTCTTTCATGCTGTTTAGCTGTCGGAAATCAACGCAGAATATGTACTTCCTGCCATTTGCTTTTATCAATATAAGAACTGGAGAGTTATGACGACTGTCAGCTTCTTCAATAGTATCCTCCTGTAACATCTCATTCACTCGTTTCTCACCTTCCCCTTCTGAATGACATGGGACTCTTGACTGCCATTTTGCGGTCGCTCAGTGTGATTTTATGTCTCACCTTATCACAATAACCGTAGGTGTCCTCATTTCCAGTGAACGGGTGATCGTATTCTTTAACCGACACTCTCATATTCTGTGCTTTCGACGCCTTAACCTCTGCTATCTCGCTTGTTCAAGTGGAGGTGTTCGATGTTCAGAGATGGCAAGATATTCGAGTATTGAGCTGCAACTATTCCTCTTTCCTCCTCTCACTAGCCAAGCTGGACAGTGTTACAGAATACGTCTGCGGACTTGGTGTTGCGTAAGGCCGACACATATTGCTTTACACAAACAAGTATACTGACTAATACACTCCATTAAGGTGGCCAAAAGCGGTTTCTTATCCTTAACGTTAGACAGTTAATTGTTTTCTGAAGAATGTGATGCGTAAGGTGGTTGCTTGAAATATCAACTTCAGACATTTAGAAAGGTGGTTTCGAAGATTCTCCCCTTCAGTATCACCTTTGACTTTCAGGTTCATGAAGGGAGTTTGCTTAGGAACACTTACGATTTTTGACGATGGAGGCCTTTCCTTCATATTTTGTACAGCTTATGAAAATGAATCATTGAAAGAAAAATTCTCTATGTTGTTTACGTCGTTTTCCCATATATTTATATAACATAATTGTTTTTGTTATAGCTGAACGCATTACCTCAACGGCCACAATCATGCAGTGGTGGAGGAAGAATTTGCGGACAGAGAAGTCTTCTCAGCACAACAAAACATCGAAATACTGCCTCTTTTACTGGAAATACTGACATAAGTCTTCACGATTTGAAACTTGAAGAGAATCTGCTGTCATGGGCAACAAGCTCTGGATTTTCGCATTCTCATGCACGGCGTCTTTTAGAGTTGGGTATGAAAAAACGAGGTAAGTTTTTCATTTATTGATTTTATTGACACAATCAATAATAATGGAGCTTTATTTGGGACATTATGTGAACACATTGTGCAAGAAATTCTCAGCATATTTTGAGAATTCGTCTTCATGTGTGTGTGTCAGTGGCACAGTGGTTATGACTCTCTCCGACTATGCACACGGTCCGGGGTTCGAGCCCCTTCCGACGCACACCTGATATCCATGGTCGGCCTGTAAAATTTGGGCTACCGATATCACATGCTGAAAATTCCATACCCTTATCGGAAAATACGGTGTGGAATTAAGCTGTAATCAAAAGAAGTAATACAGGATTTACATGTAAAGTAATAATCTGAAGTATATATCATTACGACGCGTAGATTGTAGTTGCATATGCAGATGAAGAACCAAATCAGTAGATTGTTTCTTCATTTTCTTCAAGAATTGCACGGTGTTTCACTGAAAACTAACTGAATATGTGAATGATGTCATGTAACGACCATTTGATATGCAATTGTATGATTAAAACAATAAGAAATGCAGAAGAGTTTCGATGGGTAGAAATTCCGGTAGGCTAGTGTTTTAGGCTGGCCTCTGTTATATCTATGAGTTCTTTGTTTTAAATACTCTGGTTTATGGCAGTTTGTAAAGTCCCATTTCGATGTAGTTGTGTTCTTTCTGAGCTGGATAGTTCCATTTACACATTTAGAAAAACATCAAATTGAGCGAAGAAATAAGTATTGCTTTTCAATTAGTTCTTCATCATTGGTTGGCTGTTTTTTTCCTTCACTTTCCCCAGTGGAACATAGGGCTTCAAGCTAGTGGCTTTAAGTTTCTGTAGCAGTGTTTGTTTTTACAGGATGGGGTCGTTAGCCCCATGCCCAACCTTTCCTCTTTACCAGCATTATTTCTGGCTTAGCGAGGTACAGGAGTGCGTCGGCCGGGAATCGAACCCCGGACCATGTGCATGGTCGGTGAGGGTTCTAACCACTGTGCTACCGACACGCATCGGTTGGCTTTACACGAACCTATTCTCCTTTTTACATCGAAATTGTACCAATCCTGTGGTTATTTGAGTTAATAAGAATTATCAGTTTTAGGTAAGGGGGTGTGAGTGAAAATAAGAGATTAAAAGTCATCAGAACAAGGTATCTGAATTTCGATGGGTGGGTGGGTGGCAGGTGTGGGTTAAAATCATTACTGAATTGAAGATCAGTGAATTACTACACAGTCAAGAAATTTGTGAGGTATTGATGACTAAGAAGAATAGAATGGCTAAGTAGAATCATGTACGATACAGATAAGTTATTTGAATTCTCTAGAATTAAAATCATAATAAAATAACAAAGTCAAAAGATAGTTACAAGAGGAGGGGAAATTGTCTGTCTGTCTGACTTAATACATATTTTGTTACAGGGTCTGGTCATGAGCTAACATTGGTTAGAGAACAGTTGGAAAACCTTGGAGTACTGGACAGCTGTTTCGTCCTAGTGCTTGGGACTCTTCATCAGTATGCACCCGCCAGGGTTCGAACCCACGACCTTCTGGTTACAAAGCGACCCGATCCAATGGCCAGTCCATGAATTCTAACTTCTGCCAGTCCACGATATAGCGCAACCGCTAACCAATGTCTTCGGCGAGTATTTGTCCTCACACCCGACCTGCTGCACCCTACTGGTCACGACTTCTCACTGGAACCTCAGGTAACTACCTACCTGAATAAGACCAGTCGCCGGTGAGCATCTCATTGGTTTGTAGGGATTTAGTTGATTGGTTACGGGATTTCATCATGAGCTGACATTGGTTAGAGAACCATTGGCAGAAGTTAGAATTCATGGGCCATTGGATCGGGTCCCTGTGGCTTAATGGTCTACGAGCTAACTTTGTAACCAGAAGGTGCTCGGTTCGAACTCCGGTGGGTACGTACTGCTGAAGAGTCCCAAACTAGGCTGGCGAAACAGCTGTCCAGTACTCTCATGTTCTTCAATGGTTCTCTAACTAATATCAGCTCATGATGAAATCCTGTAACCAATCAACCAAATCCCTACAAACCAATACTTGAACATATTTTGTTGTTGATCACGACAAAGAAAGATGTATTTCGATTGCCTCTGCTGTATGTAGAAGTCGTACATCTTAGAGCTTGTGAAAGGTCATCTTGACGTCCAGACAGTATCGACGAGATGAGCTAGTATTGAGCATAGTAGAGTTTTATTTGAACTCTTGCCAAACTCAGATGGAATGGATTCAGAAAGAAAATCAACGATCAATTTGCCTGATCATACTCCCAATGTGGTTAGAGCTTCTCAAGAGCAGTTAAACCGGTAAATACACATTGAAAAGGTGAAATGGGGCAGTTAGTCTTTCTCTTTTTAGCTGAGTATTGATTGGCTAGTGGATAAACAGCATTACTCAACTGGTTTCTCTCATCGACTGTTCACAAAAAACAAATGATAATTAAATTATAGGTATGTATAGGAGTGTGGATGTATGTAATGTGTGTCTATTTACTCAGTTGAAGTTTGTTCTCTAAGAGTGATAACCTACATATTTAGGTAGAATAGATTGTGTGATTCATAAGCGCCAAGATACTTAACTGTCAAGTAATTGGTCTTCAGTTCAAATTCTGGTTTATTTAATTCTACCTTGGTAGTACGATAGTACTGTGAGTTCTTACAGTTAGTTTAGTAGGTAGACGTTTATCGAGTTGTCATGTTGCATTAATTAGACTAGTGTGCAAAAATAAATTAGATCCTATGAATTCAGTTATCATGGAAGCTTTCGTGCAAAAGCTGTTCCTAATCGTCGTCTTCAAACTGACTGAGAGTGCAAATTATGTTATTGTTATTATTATTCCCTTGGGTTCCGAGTGAAACATGGGGCTTCAGCAGCACATCTCCACTTCGTCCCGTTCTCTATAGTCCTCTTCATCTGACACCACGATTGTATATAGGCTCTCATCCCCTCACACAATCTCCATGTCACCCTCGGACACACACCCAACTTGCCCTTTACTGTCCCATTTCTACTGAAGAGACGGTCTGCCGTGCTATGTTATCCAGTGGTCTCCTCGGTGTTTGTCCGATCCGTCACATTTCCTTTAACATATTTGTTGAGCAGTAAGTTTTTGATTGGTTAGTTTCCAGACAGCTCCTTGTCGCTAATTCTTTCTGGCCTACCATCTGGTCATCAGTATGGGACCACTGAAGTCAGCTGTGTTAGTAAACGTCTACTGCTTTCGGTTGGATATGCTTTTGGTGACATGCTGGCCAAGTTCTGACCCATGTAGAAGAACTGACTGGCAACATTGGTGTTGAAAATACGAATTGCGTCCTTTATGTTAAGTACAGCAGATTTCTAAACTGATTTCAAAGTGATAAAGTTCTAACCGGCTTCTCAATCCATGCTGGCGTTGGGATCGTCATCCGTGCCGCCTATAGCTGGGACGATACCCTCTAGGTAAGTGAAAGTGATGGCTCCTTTCGAATTTCTTTCACTGATAGTTATTGGTGCTTCTTGTTGTTGATGATGGCTGATTAGTTTCATTAGCCCCCCCCCCGCCGTCTTCTTTATGCTTGTTGAAGTCATGTCTTCGCTGCCAGCCTTTTCTGTTAGTCTGTTGGTTTTCGCCTGTAAGTCTTCTAGTTTGTGTGACATCATACATAAATCATCCGAGAATTCCGGATCTCCTAGAGTATTCTTATCGGTTCAATATATTCCTATCTGCTCGCTCCCACATACAGTTTCCTTCATATTCCAATGTATCACCATTAGGAATATCATCAGTGATAGGTTCAGATGTCATCCTAATTCCTTCTTTAATAAAAATTCTTCGTAGGATCTCAGCTATCGTCTCCGAATATGGTAAAACCGTAGATGCCTTATATTCTTTCTTAATCATGTTATCATTATTAGTTTCATCATTATTTTTATCTTGCTTTTGACCTTTTCTGATCTTCCTAACGAATTTTATAGGATGGGTATTTTTAACATCAACCAGCTATTCTTCCATCTGTTTCATTTCATCATTTACGTTTTCTAATGTACTCTACTTGGAGTTTTTTCGCTCAGTTTGTTAGACATTTAACTGTTAGCAGTTGAATCCAAAGCGTTTTATTCCGTCTAGAATTCATCGTGTCTCCACCAGAATTCGAAGTATCTAGTATCTGTTGTTTCAAATACTGTCGTCACTTATCAACTTAGTAGATAATATTTTTAGTATGTGAAATGGTGATTACTGAGCTCAATTCTCTATGGGTACAGTAGCATTCATTGCAAGCCAACAAGTTCCAAGAGAGTTAAGTTCTTACTCGTAGTTTGTTCCGCAGACATGTATGGGATTCTTGAGTTGTTATGCTTTTAAGGGTGAATCGATTTGAAGTAAATTGGTCGATGGTGACTAACAATGGAATCCACTATAATGTACATTTCGTCCTCTTTAGCACTCATGAGCTAGAGGATCTGCCTGCATTCCCCAGTGAGTGAGTCAGTGGGAACACCACCAATTTACTTCAAGTTAAAATAATCAGACACCGTGGAAGTATCTACACAGGAAGTCTTCGACCTGTCAACCTGAGGTCGAGCACTTTGGTTCAGTCAATAATCAACGGGAAAGTTCAAAATGAATTCAATATGATGAATCTGTCTGTCTGTTTTCGACATAGAACTTTACACATATGTGCACCAGTTCAAGTCGCCACACTCCATAAAGCACACAAAGCAACAGAAGAAAGTAGAAGAAGTGCATAATAGAGACAGTAAGCAGAGGTGTGAGACAAAGGAGTAGTAATAACGAAGAACAATATAGTTTCATTGGTAATCATAAGTCACAACGAGTGGATGCATCTGTGCCATTGAGAACGGGGATTCTGAGCCATATCACCAAGTGTTTTCAACGATTGGTTTTCACCGTCCCGAGGGCCCCAACCAGTCAGGAATTCTACACCTTCCTACGTGGCTGGCTTGGACTAACTGTTGTAGATTTCATTGACTGGTGAAGCCATGTTTTCGTTTGACAGCCTCTAGATAGCTCTTTTCTAATCAGACCCTATGTCAGCTAACATTGCCTGTTCTCGAGGAAGGCGATGACTAGGCATTCATGCGTAACACATGTCCTAACCATCTCAGTCTATGTAACTTTACGACCTCGTCTATTGATTTCCCCTGCTTGCCTAGAACTCGACCGAGGCCTAACCTCAATATTGCTCACTTATTATACCACTTCACACGGGAGATAGAATGCAGGCAAAGACAACTAGCCACGCTTTTCATATCTTCCACTCTCAATGGCCAGGTCTCACAGCTGGCCATTAAGGAAGACGGAGCCGACTGATGAGCAGTACACCCGCCCTTTGGTCGATAGTCGGATATCAAGTTTACGGTATAGACGGCGTAAACTGGCATATGCGAAACTAGCCCTCTGTATCTGTGCAAAGATTTCGTCAGAGATCAACCCGTTGGCGTTGGCTGATGGTACTTCCTAAGTAAGTGAAGCGGTCAACGTGCTCTACCAATATGATGAATAGATTCCTTAATCGTCATATCATTTCCTATATCGTATATACATATTTTTTATCTGTTCCTTTTTAGTATTTACATATGAAAATCTTGAACAGAATAAATTGATTTTATTAAATCTTCTGCATACATTCAATAAGCTGTTGACTAATTTCTCCAGTAGTGGCAGCAGCAGTAGTAGTCCAAGTTCTCATCGACTCTCTGAAGAATCAGCTCTTGTAATCACTTTGACTTTTCCAAATGATTTATCCAAGGTAAGAATTATCTGGCTGATTCAAGTTGTGTGGTTTTTTTCGAATTTTCCATTCCTGTGCAATTTATATATAAAGATATAATTAATTATGTTATTTCATACATTTCATTCCCTTGATGTCTGTCTGGATTCAACATAGAACTTGGCACCGAAGTGCAGAAGTTCTAGTTTCCACCTTCCAAATAGCACACAAAAGTAGACAAGAAGATGAGTGAAGAGAATCAATAGAGTTTGACAAATATAAGAGTGAAACAGAATGGGTAATGGTAGAAAGGAATATGAAAGATTACAGAGACTGAATACATGTGCGCCATTGACAACGATTTTGAGCCATGTCACCTATTGTCTTCAGCCATTGATTCCTAGAGTCCCGAGGGCCCCAACCCGGAAGTCTGCTTCTCCCTCCATACCTGACTCAGTTTAACTGTCAAGGATTTCATGGATTGATGAGGTCATGTTTTTGTTTGGCCACCACTGGCTCTTTTCCAACCTTCACCTATATCAGCTAGTAATGCCCGTCGTCGGGGGAGGCGATGGTTAGGCATGCGCACCACGTGACCTAGCCATCTTAATCTATGTAACTTTATAGCCTCGTTGATTGATTTTCCCTCTTTCCCCAACACTCTACGCCCAATGTCAACATTACTTACCTTGTGAAACCACCTAACGTGAGACAGAGATCGCAGACATCTATGATCGAAAGCAGTCAACCTTTTCATGTCTTCAACGCGTACTGGCCATGTTTCAGAGCCATAGAGAAGGACGGAACGAACTGATGAGCAGTACACACGTCCCTTGGTTGACAACCGGATGTCACGCCTACGCCAGAGATGGTGTAAGTCAGCGAAAGCAGCTCGAACTTTTCGGATCCGTGCTGAGATTTCGTCGCCAATCAGTCCGTTGGTGCTAATACAACTTCCCAAATAGGTGAAGTGGTCAACATGTTCTATCACTTCACTCTCTATCACTAAGCTAGGAGTTGACGTAGTCCAGTCCTCTTCCCTTCATAAATTTCGATAAAGAAAGAAAGACGAAATTTGCAGTATTAAATGATATCATCATTCTATTTCACAGGTCCTCATCATCTGCAGACTATCTGAAATTACAATGGTTTTATAAATGATAATAACATAATTTAATGTTTGAGTGGTAGTAGAGAAGAGATACTATAAAATTGACGCATCCAAAATGAAAGCATTACTATTTTTTTAGTTTAAGTTTTCATCGTCAATTTATACGCTTTCTGAGCATATTCCAAAAAACCTGTACCTGAAAGGAAGCAAATATTCTCAGAGTGCAATTACCCGACACATTGTTGATATCGGACATCTCGTAGAGATTTCTAAGTCCTTCAAAATATTAAATAGACAAAGGATGGCAAATTTACTACGATTTGCCGAAGTAATTGCAATCAAACGACCTAAACCAGACTTTTTTAAAAATTTTTTGATTTACAGCTTGATTCCACACTGTATTTTTGGTACAAGTATGGAATTTTCAGCATGGATATCGGTAACCCAAATTTTGCAGGCCGACCATAGATATCAGGTGTGCGTCGGCGAGGGCTCGAACCTCGGACCATGTGCATGGTGGGCGAGAGTCCTAACCACTGTGCCACCGACGCACATACTTATGCATACAGAAAAAGAGTGTGATTAACCTCTCACTCCTTTTGGTAACTCAATTTTGATTTTGATTACAATAATTAGTCATCTAATTCAGTGATCTCAACTCACTGAACAAATCTTAATCTCATAAACTGTAACCGCTTTTGTTTTTTGAGTTGCTATGTGAACCTACAAGCTAACACTGTTCTGTTAATCAATTTTTTTCTGTTTTCTGTCTTATCCCTCCCCCTCCTTTCAACTTTAAAAGCGCATAAATTTATGATGAAAACTTAAACTAAAAAATTGTAATGCTTTCATTTTGGATGCGTCGATTTTATAGTATCTCTTCTCTACTACCACTCAAGCATTAAATTATGTTACTATCATTTATATAACCATTGTAACTTCAGGTAGTCAATGGCAGATGATGAGAACCTGTGAAATAGAATGATGATATCATTTTATACTGCGAATTTCGTCTTTCTTTCTTTATAGAAATAATGTTATTATTTTTGTACCGTTTGTTGAGGGATTACATTTTATAGCGGAAATATTAATTTTTAACTTGTTATGAAAGTTAGAGGGGGGGGGAGGTAGTGTGTGAATATTAATTACAAGGGGTTTAGAAACAGAATTACACAGGATTAGAAAATTTTTTTTTTTTAACGAATCCATGTGTATTCATGGGATGAGGATGGGGACAACTTGAAACAATAGTTTATTTTATAACTATAGATCAAAAACGAAGAAGAAGGAGGAGTCAAACCAAACTAGATCCATGGTGTAAATATAGAGGTTGAACAATCTGGCTCTGCCTTTTCGATTCGTGTGGCGAGGGTTTCTACCCAGTACACATTGCCCTTGGTAGATTTTTTGCTTACTTTGTAAATGACTCTGAATGGTGAGTCAGTTGAGATACTGTGACAGGTGGTGATGAGATGTTCAATTATGGCGCTTCTAGTTGAACTAGTTCCTCCTCTTTGCAGCCATTTTGGGTAGTCTTCTTTAAAACGTTTTGATAGAACGCGCATAGAACGACCTATGTATCTAGCTCCACACGAGCACGTCAACTGATATGATATATGTACATTGAAGGGGTCATATGTGGAGGTTTGTTCTTCATATCGCTCAGTAGCAGTTGGCGCCTGGTGGATATCACTCTTAGAGGTGCTGTCTTCTTTTGGGGAATTGGGGATTTTCCTCTTAAGGGTACCTGCAGCTAAGTCTCCCCTGAATTTCTTCAGATTCAAATATAGTGTTTACTATGGTACTGAATAACTCTGAAATCAGTCTAAAAATCTATTGTATTCAGCATAAAGAACAACAAGATTCAGGTTTTCCAACACTAATAAGACCTTGACACGCTTTTCGATTACTATGCTACATTTGTTCACTTACATGAAACTCTTATTTCTCTGGCGTTTCTTGTCAGGAAGTTTTGGAACTTATTGTTAATTATTTGACTTTCGAACACTGAATCTGTGATATAATCTTGTTGGTTGATAATGCCTGTAACTATCTGTTTGACATCTTGTGACTGTTTAACACTAACTAACACCTATGATTTGTATATATTGTTGGATTTACATATCTAAGTCGGGCCAAGCCAGTGAGTCTATGGTTTTGATATCATTTTTGTTAACTGTATTTGACAGTGATTCTACTGCTGAGGTAGGGAGCGTTGTCTCAACTACAGGCAGTTGGAACGGACGAGGATGTCAAATCGAGCGAGAATCGGGAACTCGAGAAACATATTCATCAACCTGAAACCAATCTGGAAAACGAATCTCGTCACTCAGCATCAACAACAAAATTCAGTCGGATTTTCAATACAAACGTCAAGTCAGTCAGTTCTTCTATACGGATCAGAAACTTGGCGGGCGGGTTACAAAGAATATTTCCAATAGGCTATTGCAGACCTTTATCAACAACTAACTGTTTTCGCTCTATACTGAAGATCAGATGGTCGGGCCGGAAAGAATCATCAACAAGAAACTATGGGAACAACCAAACAAAACAAGAACCAATCGCCAATCAACAAATATGCAGGAGAAAGTGGAGATGGATCGGACGCTGGCTGAGCAGACCGCTGGGTGACATCATGCGCGCGTCAGACCATTACTCGAGTGGAACCCAAAAATGAAGCAGGTGGCGAGTGGGATGTCGGTGCAGGGGTCACATGGAGGAGATCGTGTGAAGAGAAGTTGAAAGAGTATGGACTAACATGGATGCAGGTGAAAAGTACAGGAGAAGACAGAAACAAGTGGAGACGTGCAGTTGAAGACCTATGTTCCACTAGGAACCCAAGGGAACAATAATCATAATAATAATTTGAACCTGTCTGTAAGTGATATTTCAGTCTTCTATCTTAGCTTTACAAATTTAAACTGATATTCAATAGTTAATATCTAATAATAATAATAATAATAATAATAATAATAATAATAATAATAATGTTTTGTTGTTTTATTATTTTTCCCCTATATATAAATGTATTTAGGCACAACAATTAGCTCGACTTGTAATCTATTTAGAAGAGAATGGTTTTTCACAAGACATTATTTTATATTATATTCAAAATCCGCATTCTATTGAAAATGCAGCATTGGCTAAACTGCTTAACAGCTTAATCCAGCGCACAAATTCTGGTCATCAAGTGAACAATCGTTAAATTCATTTTTTTCTACACCACATCATGAAGTATGAAAGAAAGAAAGTCTACAGACGATAAGTAACTCGTCGTTGTTGGCGTATTGTGATGACATGACAACACTACACAAAGATTATCTATCTCGGTTTTTCTTTTTAAAAGGAAAAATTTTCCGCTCAATTTCTTTATTTTCATCAATGTTATATTTCACCTCATTATCTTCAAGGAAGGAAGGAAGGAATGTATATATATTCGTGTATTCATTCCTCAAATGTATAGAATATAATTTTAACACTAATAAAGGCAAAATAAACTTTATGCCTCTTTTTTTTTAAAACTCTTCTTGACGTTTTTCTTCTCTTAAACACTTGCATACCTCAGGTTTATGTGTATTTAGAGAACAAGATAAACAATAAAGTGGGTGGTGCATAGTTACAATAATCGATTATGCCTAACCTAACATGGACAACAATCTATGATCCTTTTTACTTGGTTTTCCAATTGCCTTATTGTAATTTTCTGCAAGTTTATATATTGTACTGAGAGTATTCTAGAAGATAATTAGTCACAGCCTGTTTATATACATATATATAGTTCATGATTCAACAGTCCTTTCTATTTTGTTTTAGTTGACTTACTTATGTGTTCTCATTATCACAGCGAAAATAAAAGTTGTCTCGTGTGGAAAATAGTGTTTATGTTTTTCTTTTATGTTGCTTGTTACTTTGTTATCGCCCCCTCCTATATATACACTAGACTGGCGTTCAGTTCAACTTTTTGGCGAGGGCACGAAGTCTCTATGATGGCAACACTCTCACATTCTGATGAAGCCTCGTCAAAGTGATAGATATATAGTCAGCAACCAGTGGATTTCTGTATTATTATTCCCTTGGGTTTCTAGTTGAACATAGGGCTACAAAAACGCTTCTCCACTTTGTCCTATTCTCTGCGATCCTGCGTAGTCGGCCTCACGATTGCCTATAGTCTCTCATCTTCCTCATTGCATGATCTCCTCCATACCCAACTTGTCGTTTGCTATTCGAGTTACCCGTCAGCTGTGTCACACCCACCAGTCTCCTCAGCGTGTCATATCATTGAGTAAAAGGTTCTTGGCTCGTTTGTTCCCATATCTTCTTGTTGATAATTCTTTCTGGCCGGTCGACCGGTCACCTGAGCTTCAGTATGGAGCCATCGAAGGTAACTGTTGGTAAAAGTCTCTTGCTGTGACACGCTAGCCAAGTTTTTGACTCATTATAAAAGAACCGACTGACTTGACATTTGTATTGGAAATCCGAATTTTGTAGTTTATGCCAAGTGCAGAAGATTTCACAGTGATCCCAGCGTGTGAAGAGGATCTGTTTCGTCCTACCAATCCTCGCTGATTTTGACATCATCGGCTCTGTTGCCTGTGTAGTTGAAACGATGCTGCTTGGCCAGATTAGGGAAGGAAGTATTCTCCTTCAAATTTCTTCAGTTGACAGTGATTCGTGCCGGTTGTTGTAGCTGTTGTTGTTGACGGTGGTGGTTGTTTAGGTATCTCCATCACTTCCGTCTTCTGTGCTTGTCTCTTCTGTCAACTTGTTAGTTTTCACCAGTAAGTCTTCGAGTCTGTGTGAGTGACATTAGACATAAATGATCCGCCGAGAAATTCAGATCTTTTAGAGTTTTCCTATTGGTCCAGCGTATTCCTGTTTTCTCACTGCCCGCCTATGGTGTGCCGCACGCTTCAGTCCACTACAACTAGGAATATCATTGTTGATAATAGGCAGCCTTACTCAGTCTTACTCCTGTATTCACTTCAGAGGGTTTTCTGAGTTTTCCTTTGTGGATCATTCGACTCGTGCCACTTGGATAAAAGTTTACCTTTCAATCACATCGAGTTATAAGTCAAAGAGAATGACCGATTTCTCATTTCAATATCTGACTATCTCAATCATTTGTTGTATATACACACGACACCGCGGTAGATACAGAAGTCAGGCTTAACCGTGACACATCCATGGCCACGTAAACTATAAATGGGTAGTCAATATCTGACTGATTGCATGACCTTGAAGATCCCAAGAATAAACAAATCAAAAACTGTCCAACCAGGTTTTCATGCCAGTGGATACATAATTAGCTCCCAGGATAGACGACTGGAACGCTGGAAAGAACACTATGAGGAGCAGTTTAATTGGCCTACAGCCACGCATAACCTGCCGAACATCCAACAACTCCCTGAATGGGATATAGACACAGGTCCTCCATCCCTAACTGAGGTTACTAAAGCTGTCACCAATCTGAAACTAGGCAAAGCAGCGGGACCTGATGGAATGACTCCAGATGTATTTAAGTACGGCGGAAACAGTTTACTCTCTGCATTAACTGAGGTGCTAGGCAGCGTCTGGGAATCAGCGGAAGTCCCATCGCGTTGGTGTAAGTCGCTGATCATCCCGATATACAATAAGGGAGACAACTCTTCCTGTGATAATCACAGAGGGTTAGCTTGACTAATATAGTATCCAAGGTCCTAGGTTCAATAATCATGCGTAGACTAAGTTGTGCTCGGGAGGCGCAAACACGTGAGAACCAGGCAAGCTTTAGACCAGGAAGAGGGTGTATTGATCATATCTTCACCCTCCGACAGATTTTAGGACATAGGCATTCCTACCGGCGTCCAACAACCATTATATTTCTTGACCTAGAGGCAGCATTCGACTCTGTCGACCGAGAATTTCTCTGGAGATGCTTGGCTGTAAAGGGAATGCCGAGAAAATATATTGCACTGATTAAGGCACTCTACTCGTACTCGTGCAGCCAGCCAGGTGAGGGCTTACGGCGAGTTGTCATGTGAAGTGGTGACGACTAGTGGTGTCCGTCAAGGATGCCCATTATCCCCTTTTCTATTCAACTTCATCATAGATGTACTAATGGACTTAACCCTAAGTGACTTCAGCGACTCAGGGATTGACTTTCTACCAGGGAATAATCTCGTTGACTTGGAATATGCAGACGATATAGTCCTTCTAGGCGAGGACGCTGACAAAAAAGCAGAGTCTTGTGAACACCTTGAGCCGCAATCTACGAATGTTTGGAATGCGATTCGCTCCCGCCAAATGCAAGATGATGTTACAGGACTGGACTACATCGACGCCTAGTTTAAAAATAGGAAGTGAAGTGGTAGAGCACGTTGACCGCTTCACTTATTTGAGAAGTACCATCAGCCAGTGCCAACGCCAACGGGTTGATCTCTGACGAAATCTCAACACGAATACAGGGGGCCCGTTTCGCATTTCCCAGTTTACGCCGACTCTGGCGTAGACGAGATGTTCGACTATCGACCAAATGGCGGGTGTACTGCTCATCAGTCCGCTCCGTCCTCCTTTATGGCTGCGAGACGTGGCCACTGAGAGTGGAAGACATGAAAGCACTGATTAGCTGTCTTTGATCATAGGTGCCTGCGCTCTATTTCCCGTGTAAAGTGGCATAATAAGGTGAGTAACATTGAAGTTAGGCGTCGAGTTCTAGGTAAACAGGGGAAATCAATCGACGAGGTCGTAAAGTTACATAGACTGAGATGGTTAGGACATGTGTTACGTGTGTCAAGTGATAGCCTCCGTCGACGAGCAATGTTAGCGGATGTAGGGTCAGGTTGGAAAAAAGCTAGCGGCGGTCAAACAAAAACTTGGCACCAGTCAATGAAATCCACGATAGTTGATCTAAGCCACGTAGAAAGGTGTAGACTTCGTGACTGGTTGGGGTCGTCGGGACGGTAAAAACCAATGGTTGGAAACATTTAGTGACATGGCTCAAAATCGTTCTCAATGGCTGGCACAGAGGCCGTGCCATTCAGTTTTATCTTTTACATAACCTTGAAAGACAACTCTGGTGGGGTGTGTGGCTTGCGTTCACCAGATGCTCATAACTTGATATAGTAATTGTTATGCACTGTCCTCTTGCTTACCAAGCTAGATAATGTTCAGAGATGTGTCTAGAAAGTGTGTGCTTTGTGTAGCCAATATAACCCCCACAGTAACAAGTGAATTTATAAACACTCATTGAAGTGGCCTAAAGCGGCAGTTTATCCTTCACATATCCATTGATCATTAGTCGGCTATAAAAACTGATCCGTCGCTCATTTGAAAAGAAGGCTTTTCTCAGTAATCTGGTTAAACGATTCTTTAGAATCTTAGCAGCAGTATCACTTTAAAATTCAACGTTGATAAGTAACAATATCTTTGGCACCGACTAGGTTCTTTCAGACTTTTGCCTAACCTTCATGATTCAGTTCAAGTCACCACACTCCGTGTAGCACACAAAGCAACAGAAAAGGACAGAAGAAATGCATAATAGAGACAGTAAGCAGAGGTGTGAGACAAAGGAATAGTAGTAACGATGAACAAAACAGTTTCATTGGAAATCATAAGTCACAAGGAGTGGATGCATCTGCGCCAGCCATTGAGAACGATTTTGAGCCATGTCACTAAATGTTTCCAACCATTGGTTTTTACCGTCCCGACGACCCCAACCAGTCACGAAGTCTACACCTTTCTACGTGGCTTAGACCAACTATCGTGGATTTCATTGACTGGTGCCAAGTTTTTGTTTGACCGCCGCTAGCTTTTTTCCAACCTGACCCTACATCCGCTAACATTGCTCGTCGACGGAGGCTATCACTTGACACACGTAACACATGTCCTAACCATCTCAGTCTATGTAACTTTACGACCTCGTCGATTGATTTCCCCTGTTTACCTAGAACTCGACGCCTAACTTCAATGTTACTCACCTTATTATGCCACTTTACACGGGAAATAGAGCGCAGGCACCTATGATCAAAGACAGCTAATCAGTGCTTTCATGTCTTCCACTCTCAGTGGCCACGTCTCGCAGCCATAAAGGAGGACGGAGCGGACTGATGAGCAGTACACCCGCCCTTTGGTCGATAGTCGAACATCTCGTCTACGCCAGAGTCGGCGTAAACTGGGAAATGCGAAACGGGCCCCCTGTATTCGTGTTGAGATTTCGTCAGAGATCAACCCGTTGGCGTTGGCTGGCTGATGGTACTTCTCAAATAAGTGAAGCGGTCAACGTGCTCTACCACTTCACTTCCTATTTTTAAACTAGGCGTCGATGTAGTCCAGTCCTGTAACATCATCTTGCATTTGGCGGGAGCGAATCGCATTCCAAACATTCGTAGATTGCGGCTCAAGGTGTTCAGAAGACTCTGCTTTTTGTCAGCGTCCTCGCCTAGAAGGACTATATCGTCTGCATATTCCAAGTCAACGAGATTATTCCCTGGTAGAAAGTCAATCCCTGAGTCGCTGAAGTCACTTAGGGTTAAGTCCATTAGTACATCTATGATGAAGTTGAATAGAAAAGGGGATAATGGGCATCCTTGACGGACACCACTAGTCGTCACCAGTTCAGATGACAACTCGCCGTAAGCCCTCACCTGGCTGTCTGAGTACGAGTAGAGTGCCTTAATCAGTGCAATATATTTTCTCGGAATTCCCTTTACAGCCAAGCATCTCCAGAGAACTTCTCGATCGACAGAGTCGAATGCTGCCTTTAGGTCAAGAAATATAATGACTGTTGGACGCCGGTAGGAATGCCTATGTTCTAAAATCTGTCGGAGGGTGAAGATATGATCAATACACCCTCTTCCTGGTCTAAAGCTTGCCTGGTTCTCTCGTGTTTGTGCCTCCCGAGCACAACTTAGTCTACGCATGATTATTGAGCCTAGGACTTTAGATACTATATTAGTCAAGCTAATCCCTCTGTGATTATCACAGGAAGACTTGTCTCCC